AAGCTTCGTCACAAGAGGGGTCTTTGAGCTTCTCCATTTCGGCGTGGCGAGCTTGCCTCTAGCAGATGTTAGGCACGTTTGGCAGGTTGTGTCTTCGAGCGTTTCGCGCACGCATGTGCTTGAGATTTGATGGCGCTTGGCACCGCCCTCGAGGGCAGGGCCGATCGGTGTTCAGTCTCTTGCACTAGCTGGCATAAGCAAACGCTAAGGTGCATCCTGGTTGCATGGGTTTCCGATGCGCGTGTGTACCCGCCGCCGTTTTCCTGGACCCTCAAGTCTTCCTCTGATCATCTCTCTTTTTTTGGCCTCCGCGAATTCGTCTATATATTCCTCTTCGCGGGCAGGTTGTATATTCGAGCGCTTCGCGCACGCATGTGCTTGAGCTTTGGTGGTGCTTGACGCCGTCTTCGAAGGCTGGCCCGATCGGTGCTCAATATCTTACAGTAGCTGGCAGGAACAATCGCCAGAACACCATTCCTGGAAGCTCGACCGCGCGAGCCCTTGAACCTGTTGCATATTTTCCAAACGAACTAGCGAGAGCCAGTGTTTGAAGAAAAACTGCCCTTCAACCGTGCAACTGTGCTCGGCGCGACAGCGAGAGCCGCAGTTTGAAAACGACCTGCCCTCCATCCGTGGAGCTGCTGCAGAAGCTCAGCAGGAAGGCCCGCGGCGCTGACGCGAGAGCCACGCTTTGCAAGCGGCCCGCCGCCTACGCTCGAAATTGCTAGAGATTTCGAGCTTCAGAGTCATGCACGGTGAGGAAGTCTCCGGTCAAACGCCCGGCCCGCCTTACCGACACGTTTGGGGGTGCGACAGGGAGGAGTTTTTGGGACAAGGGAGAGGGATGGAGGACCGCCATGACACGTGACATTTTTCGCATCCAGTTCTTGAGGAGCGAGCCATCATGAACCTCATTTGATTAGTCTTGTATGCTTTGTTGAGCCTCTTGGGGGCCGTTATGAGGCCTCTTGGGGGCCTCTAGAGGCCTCCTGCGGGCCTCTTGGGGCGGTGAGCTCGAAATGTTGGTTCGTGTTCCCTCTATGGGGCCCTCCTGGTGTGTTCTTGAGACACTATTGGGCCATCTTCGGCGCCCTTTGGGCTGCCTTGGAGCCCCGTTGGGCCGTCGGGGCCCTCTTGGAGGTCTCTTGGGCAGTCTTGGAACAGTTTTGGGGGCCTCTTGAGCCGTCTTGGGGCGTCGGAAGCTCGAAATGGCCAGAACCCCAAACACATTGACAGATTGAAAAACCTACGGATGGGGCTCTTGGGTGCTTTCTTGGGGGCCTATTGGGGACCTCTTGGGGGCCTCTTTGAACTCCAAACCGCTGCCTCTTGGGAGCCTATTGGGGGCTTCCTTTACGTGGGGCATGCTGGAGGCCTCTTGGGGCGGAAGGCTCGAATTCTCGGTTCATGTTCCTCCTTTTATGTCATTGTTGGATCCCTTTAGGGCAGTTTTGGGCTCCTCTTGGGCACTTTCGGAGCCCTCTTGAGCCGTTTTGGAGCTCTGTTGTGGGCCTCTTGAGCCGTCTCGGAGCGTCGGGAGCTGTGAAAGGCGAGTGTCCGAAAACATTGAAACACCTACGGAACATAAATGATTGTTGCTTTTCGGGGCCCTCTTGGGGGCGTCTTTGGGGCCTCTTGGGCTTCTCGGGGCAGTCTTGGGGCCCTACTGGGCAGCCTTGGGCACGTCTTGGGCCGTCTTGGAGCCGTCTTGGGGCCCTCTTGGGGGTCTTTTCGGCAGTCTTGGGGTTATGTTGGGGGCCTCTTGGGCCGTCTTGGGACGTCGGGAGCTCGCAAAGACAAGAACCCCAAAAACTTTGAACAACCTAAGTGGGGTCATTGATTGCTGCCCCTCGAAACCGTCTTCGGAAGGCTCTTGGGCCTCTCTTGGGACGTCTCTAGTGCCTCTTGGGCCGTCTTGAGGTCATCTTGGGCCGTCTTGAGGCCAAAGCTGGACCTCCTGGAGCCGCATTGAGTCGTCTTGGAGGCATTTTGGCTTCAGGATTGGTTTCTGCAATCGTTCTGGCACCAGGAGAAGTCAGGAGGGGAAGCAAAAACACAGACACAACTAATGGACGATCCCCAGGAAAATATGGGAAAATATTGGAAGTGGGGGGGAAGGCAGTTACTCTGGCGGAAGGACCCAGCATGAGACTCTGCTGAGCTTGCCCTTAACCCTTTCCTCGTCCTGGCAGACACCCTCCTCTCGCCCTCTGCTCTGGCCTCTCCTCCTCCTCCTCCTCCTCCTCCTCCTCCTCCTCCTCATCCTCCTCCTCATCCTCCTCCTCCTCCTACTGATCCTCCTCTTCCTCCTCTTCCTCCTCCTCCTCATCCTCCTCCTGTTACTTCTCCTCCTCATCCTTCTATCCTCCTCCTCCTCCTCCTCCTCCTCCTCATCATCATCATCACCATCATCATCATCATCATCATCATCATCATCATCATCATCATCATCATCATCAGCATCAGCATCATCATCATCATCAGCAGCATCATCATCATCATCCTTCTCCACCTCGCCATCATCATCGCCCTCTCCCAACCCCTTCCCCGTCCTCATCCTTCCCTTGTTTCTTCTCCATGTGCTCCCCCCTTCCCCCCTGGTCGGGGCAAGCAAATCGATGTTCCTCGGCGCCGTCGCCGCCTCGGCCAGCGCGCGCGCGTTCGCCGACGGCTGGTTCGCGAAGCCTTCGGGGCAGGTCCGCGGGCCATGCCTCTGGGACAACCCCGCGGGCCGTTGGGGCGCGTGGGCAGGCCGTCGGGACAACCCCGCGGACAAGACCGTTGGGCCAACCCCGCGGGTCTCTAGATGCGCGCCGCGGCGCTCAGGCTGGAGGCAGCACGAAGCCCAGCTCCGCGGCAATCTGCTCGGCCTCATGCTTGGAGGTTTTCGCTTTCTCCTCGAACGAGCGCCTCCCGCAAGGACGCCAGCGGCCCGCGCTCCAGAAGCTCGCGCGAGGGCGGCCGCAGGATCAGCATGCTCCGCATGCACGTGGCGCGGGAGAACATTGCGTAGAGGTGCAGCCACCATTGCTCGCCCGACATGCCCGTGCGGCTAGCGTCCTCGTCCCTCGCGCAGTCGTTCGTGACGCCCTCGCGCAGCGTCTGGCCCTACGACAGCGTGGAGGTCAGGTAGGACGCGTGCGTCAGGGTGAACCCCGATCGGCGCACAGCGTGCGCCCCCGAGCTCTGCCGCGTGAGCTCCTGCTCTCTGGGCCTGAACATGAGCAAGCTCCTCGCCCGCGCCTCGGCTTCGCCGCGTTCGACGGCGCCTTCGGCGCCCTGCAGCAGCAGCTCGGCGACCTCTTTGTAGATCGGGGACTCCTTGAAGCCGTGGACCTGCAGCCAGATTCCCTGCGGTAGGTAGCGGGGGCGAAAGAGCTGTCCCGGCGCGCACTCCTCGTAGTCCCGCTCGTCGTGCGGATGAAATTCGAAGGACACGATGGTGGCCCGTTGCTCCTGCACGAGCCCTTACTTCTTCTTAAACTCTTCCTGCGCGGCCGTGAACCGAACCTCCATGCCGACGTGTGCCGGTAAGACGCGGATGTCCCCGGTCTTGTGCATTTTCGGGACGTTCAGGAGGCGTCGGCCCGCGTCCGGATCGCCTTGAATCGCACCGCACTCGTCTACGGCCTGCAGGAAAACGAGGGGGACGCCGAGACGCTGCGCGTCCCGACGAGCGCGCGTATTGATCCACCTCGCGAGCGTCTCCCACTAGATGCCCATGCCGTAGCCGAACCGAAAGTTGTCGTGCCCGTGCCGAGGGTCCAGGACGCAGTGGTTGTCCGAGGCCAAGGTCTTCTCCCAGGCGGACCAGACCTCCGGTGGGAAGGGTTTACCCGCGCGCGTGCGGCCCAAGAACGCGATCAGATGGTCCCGGGGTTCGAAATACTTCGTGCCCTTCAGCCCGAACACGCAAAGGATTTCAGAGAAGACCCTGATGGCGTGCTGAATCTCCACCGCTTGAGATTTCCTCGCAAGTCACTCACAGACGAAGCTCCCGCCTGATTTTTCCTCCAAATTTAGGCCTGAGGAGCCCAAATGTGACGACGGTTACAGGATTCCGATGACCCGCCCCGGATTCGAACATGAAGTCCGGGCCTCTCAAGGAAGGGGCTCCCGCCTGAGACTTCCTCACAATTCACTCACAGACGAAGCTCCCGCCTGACACTTCCTCCGAATTCAAGCCTGAGGAGTCCAAAAGTGACGACAATTACAGGATGCCGATGATTCGCTTCGGATTCGAACATGAAGTCCGGGCTCCTCAGGGACGGGGCTCCCGCCTGAGACTTCCTCGTAATTCGCTCGCAGACGAGGTTCCCGCTTGATACGTCCTCCAAATTCAAGCCTAAGGAACCCAAAATTGACGACTGATACAGGATTCCGATGACCCGCCTCGGATTCGAACATAAAGTGTGGACCCCATAAGGAGGAGCCTCCCGCCTGAGATTTCCTCACAATTCACTCACAGACGAGGCTCCCGCCTGAGACATCCTCCGTTGTCTAGCCAGGTACTGAGTGATGACGAAGTGATGAGTGAGTGAATGATGATGGTGAGTGAGTGAATGAGTGAGTGAGTGATGATGGTTATGATGGTGACGATGAGAAGTGACTGTGTGAGCGTTTGATTGTGAGTGTGCGTGAGTGTGTGATTGATGAAGATGATGATGTTGATAAGTGAGTGAAGGAGTGAGTGAGGGTGAGTGATGAGGAGGGAGAGAGGGATGGAGTGTGTTTTTGCGCGGGCTGTCCAAAGAAAACAAGAACCCCATTTTGAATGTGGGGGAACATCTAGAAAATATTGGAACATATGGGGCATCCTGATATTTGTGTCTATTTATGTATGTGTCCCAGAGCCCCTTTTTTTACGAAGGGGCGACGCGTGCAGGCCCAGCGCGACAAGAGGGGGGGAGCGGGGCCCTGGCAGACGACAGCAACCCTACCGAACAGCATTTGGCGTGTCAGCACGCCCCACCGTGCCAAGGGGCACGGTGGCGGATCAGTGGTATGCTGCGATCACCGGCGGCTGCACGGTGACCAACGGTTGTGTGCGGAGTCCGAATTACCCGCAGGACTACACCAACGATGACGAGTGCGAAATCGCTCTGGCATCTGAGGGGGTGTGGCTCACGCCGACGTCCTTCGACGTGGAGAGCTACTTCGACTCGCTGACCGTGAACGGGGTGTCCTATGACGGCACTTCCTGGAATGCCCTGACCGAGCCTGTCTTCGTCACGGCTACCATCTATTGGTCCCCCGACAGCTACCAGGCCGCTGCTGGCTGGGAGCTTTGCCCTACGCCAGCCCCTACGCAGATTTCCACACCAAGCCCTCCTGTTGGCACTGGTGTTCCTACTAGCGCCCCCAGTGAGTATCAGTGGTATACTGCGATCACCGGCGGCTGCACGGTGACCAACGGTTGCGTGAGGAGTCCGAACTACCCGCAGGACTACAACGATGACGAGTGCGAAATCGCTTTGGCATCTGAGGGGGTGTGGCTCACGCCGACGTCCTTCGACGTGGAGAGCTACTTCGACTCGCTGACCGTGAACGGGGTGTCCTATGACGGCACTTCCTGGAATGCCCTGACCGAGCCTGTCTTCGTCACGGCTACCATCTATTGGTCCCCCGACAGCTACCAGGCCGCCGCTGGCTGGGAGCTTTGCCCCACGCCAGCCCCTACGCAGATTTCCACGCCAAGCCCTCCTGTTGGCACTGGCGCTCTGACTGAGGCCCTGGTGGGTGCCACCCTAACTGGTGCCCGTGCCGAGGAGCCGACGGATTGATGGAACAACGATTATATACGGGGTCAAGCGGCCTCTTGGGCTCCCTACGCCAGACGCAATAGTGATTTCAGAATTGTATCCGCCTGTCGGGATGACCACATGCGACGGCTGTTGCTGCGATAGCTCCCTCCACTCTTTTCCTCCTCATACTGCTCCCCATATGAGGTCAATATCGTTTAACTATACGCCCCCAGGTGAGTCGGAGGCCGCGGTGTCGCCTGGGGTTGTCAAACAAGTCAAACGAAACAACGCCTCGCACACGCCGACAGGGTGGGCGGATTTGCGTATGCATGAGCAAGACCCTCCTCTTGTGTATGGACTGTCGTGTAAATGTGTCGACTTGCCCATGCCCTTGTGATGGTTTGCGAATACGAGTTTGCAATGGAGTGTGAAGATGGTTGCATGTGCAGAGCGCGTGCACATGCATGTTTATGATATTTTGAGGGAGTTTCTGTGGAACTCACGTCATCCTCACCCCCAGCGCGAAGAGCACGAGCCCAGAGCGGCCTCCGGCACCGTTTCCGGACAGATCCGGTGGATCCGGTGACGAATCCCAAACCGGCGCCCTCGCTTGAGACATCCTCACAAAACCGGCCCCGGGGGAGGTGCCCAGAGGAGCCCAGAGCGGCCTCCGGCACCGTTTCCGGACAGATCCGGTGGATCCGGTGACGAATCCCAAACCGGCGCCCTCGCTTGAGACATCCTCACAAAACCGGCCCCGGGGGAGGTGCCCAGAGGAGCCCAGAGCGGCCTCCGGCACCGTTTCCGGACAGATCCGGTGGATCCGGTGACGAATCCCAAACCGGCGCCCTCGCTTGAGACATCCTCACAAAACCGGCCCCGGGGGAGGTGCCCAGAGGAGCCCAGAGCGGCCTCCCACCCGGCCTCCGGGCACCGGACAGTCCGGGGATCCGGTGGATCCGGTGACGAATCCCAAACCGGCGCCCTCGCTTGAGACATCCTCACAAAACCGGCCCCGGGGGAGGTGCCCAGAGGAGCCCAGAGCGGCCTCCGGCACCGTTTCCGGACAGAGATCCGCTGGATCCGCTGGATCCGGTGACGAATCCCAAACCGGCGCCCTCGCTTGAGACATCCTCACAAAACCGGCCCCGGGGGAGGTGCCCAGAGGAGCCCAGAGCGGCCTCCGGCACCGTTTCCGGACAGATCCGCTGGATCCGGTGGATGACGAATCCCAAACCGGCGCCCTCGCTTGAGACATCCTCACAAAACCGGCCCCGGGGGAGGTGCCCAGAGGAGCCCAGAGCGGCCTCCGGCACCGTTTCCGGACAGATCCGGTGGATCCGGTGACGAATCCCAAACCGGCGCCCTCGCTTGAGACATCCTCACAAAACCGGCCCCGGGGGAGGTGCCCAGAGGAGCCCAGAGCGGCCTCCGGCACCGTTTCCGGACAGATCCGGTGGATCCGGTGGATCCGCCGACGAATCCCAAACCGGCGCCCTCGCTTGAGACATCCTCACAAAACCGGCCCCGGGGGAGGTGCCCAGAGGAGCCCAGAGCGGCCTCCGGCACCGTTTCCGGACAGATCCGCTGGATCCGGATCCGCCGACGAATCCCAAACCGGCGCCCTCGCTTGAGACATCCTCACAAAACCGGCCCCGGGGAGGTGCCCAGAGGAGCCCAGAGCGGCCTCCGGCACCGTTTCCGGACAGATCCGCTGGATCCGCTGGATCCGGTGACGAATCCCAAACCGGCGCCCTCGCTTGAGACATCCTCACAAAACCGGCCCCGGGGAGGTGCCCAGAGGAGCCCAGAGCGGCCTCCGGCACCGTTTCCGGACAGAGATCCGCTGGATCCCTGGATCCGGTGACGAATCCCAAACCGGCGCCCTCGCTTGAGACATCCTCACAAAACCGGCCCCGGGGGAGGTGCCCAGAGGAGCCCAGAGCGGCCTCCGGCACCGCGACAGCCGGTGGATCCGGTGACGAATCCCAAACCGGCGCCCTCGCCTGAGACATCCTCACAAAACCGGCCCCGGGGGAGGTGCCCAGAGGAGCCCAGAGCGGCCTCCGCACCGTTTCCGGACATCCGGTGGATCCGCTGGATCCGGTGACGAATCCCAAACGGCGCCCTCGCTTGAGACATCCTCACAAAACCGGCCCCGGGGGAGGTGCCCAGAGGAGCCCAGAGCGGCCTCCGCACCGCCTCCGAGATCCGGTTTCGCGGATCCGCTGGATGGTGAGGAAACGAATCCCAAACCGGCGCCCTCGCTTGAGACATCCTCACAAAACCGGCCCCGGGGGAGGTGCCCAGAGGAGCCCAGAGCGGCCTCCGGCACCGTTTCCGGACAGATCCGGTGGATCCGGTGACGAATCCCAAACCGGCGCCCTCGCTTGAGACATCCTCACAAAACCGGCCCCGGGGGAGGTGCCCAGAGGAGCCCAGAGCGGCCTCCGGCACCGTTTCCGGACAGATCCGTGGATCCGCTGGATCCGCTGGATCCGGTGACGAATCCCAAACCGGCGCCCTCGCTTGAGACATCCTCACAAAACCGGCCCCGGGGGAGGTGCCCAGAGGAGCCCAGAGCGGCCTCCGGCACCGTTTCCGGACAGATCCGGTGGATCCGGTGACGAATCCCAAACCGGCGCCCTCGCTTGAGACATCCTCACAAAACCGGCCCCGGGGGAGGTGCCCAGAGGAGCCCAGAGCGGCCTCCGGCACCGTTTTTGGACAGATCCGGTGGATCCGCTGGATCCGGTGACGAATCCCAAACCGGCGCCCTCGCTTGAGACATCCTCACAAAACCGGCCCCGGGGGAGGTGCCCAGAGGAGCCCAGAGCGGCCTCCGGCACCGTTTCCGGACAGATCCGGACAGATCCGGTGGATCCGCGCCCCGGGGGAGGTGCCCAGAGGAGGAATGAGGAGGAGGAGGAGGAGGAGGAGGAGGAGGAGGAGGAGGAGGAGGAGGAGAAGATGATGGAGCTGCGGGGTGGAGGAGGACAGACGGAGGCAAGAGAAGGATGGAGGAGGAGGAGGAGGAGGAGGAGGAGGAGGAGGAACCTCATCCTCACCCTCGCCAACAAGCGCACGCACCTTCTTCTATATACAGAAACTCCCGATCAACCGCAGAGCGGCCGGCTAGGAGTACGTTTCAGAGTACGCGATCATGCGAAACACGTTGAGGTACACCGTACGTGTTGGTGCTTATGGAATGGAACCTACTAGTGATAACAGTAACCAGCCAAGCGACACCAGTGTTTTCAGTCATGGATTGGTCGAGCTTGATCGATGTATGTTCGGCACGGTCTTACTGTCTCAGGCCGTTGTTGAGAGCAATCGTAAATAGATCGAACACGTATGCGGCGAGTCACCGCCGCCCCTTGCCTGTTGGAATCGCCTATGCGGCCGAGCGTTGTGGCAAGAGCTCTGCCAAGCTATCGGACCATGTGTTCACCGAGCCGTTGTGGAAACCCTTCGGGGAACCTTTGGGGGATGACGGCGGGGAAGATCAGGAGGAGGAGGAGGAAATGGAGAAGGCATCTTGGGAGCCTCTGGGGGCACTCCTGGGGCCTCCTGGGAGCTTCCTGGGAGCCCCTTGGAGGCATTTGGGGGGCCTCCTTGGGCCTTTTGGGGGCCTTCTAGGGGGGCTTCTCGGGGGCCTCTTTGGCCGTCTTAGGGCATTCCTGGCCCGTCTGACGCCGTCGGAAACCGTCTTGGGGGCCTCTCTGGGCCGACTTGGGTCCCTCTTTCTGGTGCTCCAGGGCCGTCTTGAAGGCACACCAGGGCGTCTTGGAGGCCTCTTTGGCCGTCTTGGGGCCCTCTTGGGGCCGTCTTGGGGGCGTCTTGAGCCGTTCTCGGGCCATCTTGGAGGCATCTTGGGCGATCTTGGGGCGATCCTTGGGCGCTCTCGGGCCGTCTCGGGCCATCGAAAGGCCGAAAAGCAGCAAATGCCCGAATCCTTCCAGAGCCGATGGGAAATCACTGCTCTGGGCCTCTTCGGGCCTTCCTGGAGGACCTCCTGGGGGCCCCTTTGGGCCGTGTTGGAGACCTCCAGGGGGGCCGCCTGGGCCACCGGCGCCCCGGCGACCCTCCGCGCGGCAGCGAGCCCGCGGCGCGGCGCCGGGGGCGGCCACGGCGGCGGCGCCTCTGGGGGCCCAGCGTTCCGGGCGGCCTCGCCGGCGGCGGGCCCGAAGGCCGCGGGTGGCTGCCAGCCCCCCCCAGCTTTCGCCCTCCCCAGGGCTCGGGCTCGCTTCGATTTCTCCGATTCGATGCGATTCGACTTCGACGGCTTCCGATTCCGATGCGATTCGACTTCGGATTCCGATTCGGGCTCCGAGTCCTGATTGGAGGCGTACTCGCCTGCCGATTTCTGCCGATTCGACTTCTCCCGATGTGGCTGCCGATTTCCGTCGATCCGATTCATGTCGACTGCCGATCCAGCTTGTCGACTCGAGTCTGTGCTCTCCTGCCTCCCCGTGCAAGGCACCACCGTGGCAGGCCCTCGGCTGTGGCTGGGCATCGCGGCGGGCTGCCGCTGCCCTCTCCCGTCGCGCCTGCAGCCAGGCGTCCAGTTCTTGGCGCTTCTCGTCGTCCTCTGTGCGGCGGCAGACCTCCGCCCGCACGGCTGCAGGCTGCAGCGTTGCGGCGATCGCCGCCTGTGCTGCGCCCGGCGGGAGCGCCTTCAGCGCCCAGGCAAACTGGGCGGGCTGGTCTCTTCCTCCTTCTGCGTGGGCCCAACCGTCGTCGGTTCCCCCAACCGCCAGCAGCGGTCGGACAGCCAGCCCTGGGCCCTTGGGGCCCACGATCAGGACCTCACGCATGCATTCCTTCTCTGGCAGCAGCGCGGGGGTCGGGCCTTTGATCCCGTATATAGACCATCGTCTTGGCGCCGCCCTCGGCGTCGCGCCAGCGGCCAGCCCGCCGGGGCAGGCCCTCGGCGCGCTTGGCCGCTGCCCGTGGCCCCCGCTTGAAGGCCCCTTGGTTCCCAGCCTTTCAGTGCTCGGGGGGGGGAGGCGATGCGCGGGCACGAGACGCGCTGCCAC